TCGACGAACCGTGCGAAAAAGCTTTTCATAAGCTCAAGAACGCCATCTTGGCACCGCCGGTGTTGGCGCTGCCGAAGAAGGACCTACCCTACTCGGTAGATACCGATGTAAGCGACTATCAAATCGGCGCTGCATTATTTCAGACACATCCGGATGCGCAACGTAAATCCATCGGGTTCTTTTCAAGAACGTTAGCCGCAGCCGAGAGAAACTACTCTGTATCAGAAAAAGAATTTCTAGAGGTAATTTGGGCCGTACAGACTTTAAGACCATATCTATATGGCGAGCACTTCATTGTGCATACTGACCATGCCTCATTGAGGTGGTTGATGAACGTAACCGACCCCAGCGAGAGATTAATCCGATGGAGGCTCCGCCTCTCGGAATTTGATTTCGAAATCAATTACAAGAAGGGCAAGGCGAATAGTCAAGCTGATGCCCTGTCAAGATTACGGACCGCAGGAGAAACCGTCGACGAAATTGACGACGAAATCCCATGCTTTATGGCCGAACCGGCGGAGGGTACAGTGGAGGACGAGGACAGTTTTGACGCGTTAGACGACATCCTCGCTCTTGAGGGGCGGACCGCCCCTGACCGCCTCGATCAATTCCAAGCTGTCACTCCGGAGGAGCTCATTCGCCAGCAAGCCGTCGACCCCTTCTGCAATCGCATCAAGGAAGAAATGGACGCCGGGAAGGTGAGAACGTTCAGCATGGAGACCGAGGAGCTCGAAGGAACTCTTTGCCGTACCGCGGCAGAGTTTGTACAAGTGGTGATAACACAATCATTAAGGGACCGCGTCCTAGGGTTGAGCCACTACGCAAAATTGGCAGGCCACCCGGGAGGCAGGAAACTTTACAAGACATTGAGAGGATATTTTTGTTGGCCTACGATGGCCCTAGACTGCTACGCAGTCGCGAAGAATTGCGCTGCATGTGCGCGGGAAAGGGTGAAGTTAAGAAGAAACACGAAGGAAATGAAGCTGTTCACGCCCAAAGCTCCGCTGGAGTTTGTCGCCATGGACATCCTTGGAGAGCTAATCACAACTAAACGAAGAAATCGGTATATTCTCGTGATCAGCGATCGATACTCCAAACTGGTACGAACCGTACCGTTGAAGAAGATATCAGCTGCGCACATCGCACAAGCCTTCGTTGACCATTGGGTATTCGTGTACGGACCGCCGGTCAAGCTGCTGTCCGACAATGGAACACAGTTCACGGCCCGGTTCTTTCAGAATGTCTGCCGAATTCTCGGCATACGCAATGTGTTCACGACTACGTACCACCCGCAAGCCAACGACCAAGTTGAGAGGTTTAACCGCACGCTGACTTCCGCGTTGCGAAAATATGTTGGAGAGCATCCCAAGGACTAGGACCTATTTAGCGACGCTGTGACGTTCGCATACAACACGCAAGTTCATCGAACTACGAACATCGCCCCCTTCGAGCTGGAGTTAGCCCGGGCGCCGAGAAGCATTGCGTTACAAGCACAGCCAAGTTTGGAAGGATTTAGCTCGAATCGAGCGTACTACCTGAAATGGCAGTCGTGGTTGGAAAGCCTGATGAAAGGCGCTGGTAAGAGCTTGCGGAAAGAACAAGCCCGGTACAAGCGAAATTTCGACGCAAGGCTCCGCAAGCCGAAGTATGACATCCCTTCAGGATCATACGTATTCCTTCGAAAGGAGCAAGGCACGGCCACCGAGCCGAAACAGAATTTGGCACAAGTGGCTACGGGTCCGTATCAAGTGAAGGAGTCAACTGAGAATACGGTCGTCATTGCCATCGGCGACCAAGAAGAGCGCGTGTCGCGAGATAGAGTCGAATTAGCCCCTAGTCCCATGGACTACACGCCGATAAGCGGGCTCCGACAAGCGCTACAGTTACTCAGTCGAGAAGGGGAACGAGAAGAACCCGCCGCGCAAGCGAAGGATAGGACGGATGAAGGACCGTTGGTAAATCAGGAAGCTGCGGGCATCCCGCCCAATCTACAAGAGATGGGAGGTTCGGAAGAGCAGGATGAGGATGAGTCGCTGGCTCTTCGGAAGGGGGACGGACATTTAGACACGCAGGAAGAACGAGCCGAGAGCCAGGAGTATGTGATCGACAAGATCGTGGACCACGGCTACGACGAGGAGAAATTAATTCTCAAAGTAAGATGGTATGGGTATACCACCGACGACGCGACGTGGGAGCCCATTGAGCAGTTACTTCGTAGCACAGCAGTCACTTATTTCCGAAGGAAACGGTTGCCCCTGCCGGCGCAAGTCGCGCACGCGGTACCTGGATAGCTGTTGTCAAGAAAGAAAGCAGAGGAGAGCCAGCAAAGAAGTCAGAAGTTTGAGGAAGCGATGCATGTCGGGTCGTTGAGAAATGGGGAATGTCACCGTACCCCCGGATGAGGTGTTACGCTCGCCTGAATGGCAACGCGTCATCGAGGCGCACACGTGAACTTAAGATTGAGAGCAGGAGTCCGCACGGACGGGGAGCGAAAATTATCCCAGAATTACTAGAGACATACCGGAAGGGGATTGTCCAATGACCAGTACGAGAATTGAGCACCAGTCCTCCCTCGAAATCCTAATCAAAATTGAGGATATCCGCCCGAAATCGCCGGTTGCCCGCTCAGTTACTGTTGTTAGCCAGGGCTGACCGCACAAATATCGAAGTCAGATCGCGACCCGCGACTACTAATTGCGTATGAAGCAGAACACGTCATTAGCCGGCGGCCCCGTCCAACTCGCTTTGCGGAGAGTTGACAAGGATTAGTGAGGCGCAACGCGCGCTCGCCGGGCAGGAGGTGCTCTTTTTAGGGACGGGAGCAGTGTGGATTTAAGACTGACCCCCGACCCCCGCGCAACCCGCTTTTATGGAGAGCCACCAAGCGGAGCAGAGAGGGCAACGAGTAGGGTTGGGAACGAGAGATAGCCGAAGGAGTCGACGTCCCAACGAGACGACACGGTTCACCCGACAGTTGCGAACGACAGGGCCCCGACGCGTTTACTGACGATCGGCGTACTTACTAGTTTACAACGTTAACCCCCCTTCTCTTCTCACTACCTCTCTTCATTGTTTCGGTTTTAGTTGGTTGTTTGTTTTTGTGCGCGTTTGTTTTGTTATGTTATGTTTATTTTGTCTGTCGTTGTCTAGGACACGACTTTGCCTGGCGCAAGTCGATCAGTGAGTCTGCAACAACCAGACGAAGGCTAGCGCCATGAGAAAAGGAAGAAGGAACCGCTGCGGGTGCCTTGTCAAGACAAGTAAGCCCCGACGAGGGAGGAGATGCGAGGTACCGCGGGTCGATTCGACCAAGGGAAGACTGTATCCGACGGGAAATGCACAGTGTGCACGAGACGGGAAATCTGAAAGGAGACTCTGGAGGGAGAGGAGCCCTACCCCCCCCGCGACAGGGGATATTGTTGATTGACGGGAAGAGATGATCAAAAGGGGACGCACCAGTCGCTGACGGAGCTCCGCAAGCCCCGATACAGAGGCTTGTCGAGCAGAAATAATTACTGACCGAGGCAAACCCGCCACAAGGATAAGCATAGTCCCACCGCCACGCAGTCAACGAATCGTCGATTGCGACTAACACTGACGCCCCTGTAGTACTTCTGGCATACGCGCGACGCACCCACCGATCCGTAGCTATGCCCTAATATATTTTCTGTTGCATTTTTTGCGTTCTCTTTTGTTTCGTTCACCTTTGAGGTCCAGAGGTACAACCGCGTCCTGTGAACGTCGATCAGCGGGTATATCGGGCATTAGAAGGATGATACGGCCGCGTTACAAGGAAGAACGTCCTCCATGGTACATGGCAAGCTGGGCTTGTCTGGGGAGCGAGAGACGTTATAGGGAGTCAAGAACAGCCATCACAGTGGCCTCCGGAAACGCTGCAGTAGCGTAGAAAGGACGAGACGACGCAGACAAAGAGGAAGGCGTGTCGGGTCGAGCGCATGAAGCGCTGGGTACTTAGAAAACGTGCAAACGGCACGCGCAAGTCCGTACCCGCCGCCACGCGAAGATGCAAACAGGGAAAAGGGGGGCACGATCGTCCCGTACGAGATGTCGAAAAAGGAGAGCGACGTTAACTGTCGACAACACCCACAAGCCGGAGCAGGGAAAAAAGGACTTAGGCGATTTTATCTGAAAACCTGCCTCACCGGAATGCAAGAGCCGCCGCAGTCGTACCACGAAAACGAAAATTTACTGTAGTCTCAGGCTGAGGTCAGATACCTCCTGAGACACAATCACGCGCACGAGACAGGGCGCTTGGATCAGAGATCCGCCCTCGTGTCGCGCTATTTAATCAAGAAAATACTTGGAGGTCGTCAGAGAAACGCTGGACGAGCGGTAAAAGCCGAAAATGGACCAAGGGGGTAACCTTCGAAATTTTAATGAAAAATATAGGGGGAAACAGTACTTGTTGGTCGCACGAAAACAAAGGAGCGCTGGCTACAGCCCATGACACAAGTACACCAGGTCACCCGATCACATCGTCGTGAGCCATCGCGCAAGACACTCAACGAGCGGGAGCCTTCTTCCACGGGGCAAGACACAATGCCGCCGTCGGTATGGCCATGTACAATGAGTTCCGTACGTACCAAAGGACTACCGAACCCCTGCCTAAGACCACGGACTCCTGTTCTTGCAATCCGCCTCCCCGTTCGAGGCAGCCGAAAAAAATGGAGAAGAGAGAGCAGAGAAATGGTAATCCTCACGTCAACAAGGACCGATTTGTGACGTCTCATTGAAGAGGCAATCGGGAGTCTCGCGCCACCTTCCAACAAGAACGATCCGGAGCACCAAGGAGAGGAGAGCAACTCCGGAGTAGAGAGATCGTCGATCGAGGAGCTCATTACCAAGGACAGAGCTGTGGCTCGACTCGACTGACGACGTCAAGCTCACGTTCTCTTTGCTGCCCCAAGCGAACTACCGAAACAATATCCTTCCTTTATTTCCTCTACTGTCTCGCACATTGACCCTCTTACTGCTTTCCTATGTTTTTAGTTGCCCTAATTTCCTGTGCATTTTTATTTTATCTCACTTCTTGTTGTGAAGACCTAACACTACCCCACGCCGCGACATCGATATTAAGGACGACCGACAGGACGTCGATCATGACGAGACCCCCCCGTTGGGAGGGAGATAAGCCAGGAGATCAAGACCGCTACGCACGACGTGCGGAGTTGAACAAATAATTGGAGGCATGCGGAAGAAGGGACGGACGTGTATCGCACGAAAGGAAGAGAAGTGCACACTCGCCGAGTGTTTGACATCGCTACTGGAAGACGTACAGTAAGAGGCGGTCGATGACTAAGGAAATCCGGAACGCCACTACGTGAATGACCACTCCGAAGTTCTTTAAATTGGTATTCTTTCATGATTCTGAATTGGGGCGTCCCCATCGTGGGTCGCTCGCAATTAACGACCAGTCAAATAGGCGCTGATGATGGTCGGGAAGCATTCGTAAGCAGCGTGTGTTATCACGTTATGGAGGACGCCAGGCGTAGAAATGAGGATCGGAAAACGGGACGAATGCCGTTGACTGAATGAACGCCGAGCCAGCAACTCTACACGGCAGCGGTAATGCAGTGCCGTGGATAAGAGACAACGCACGGTAGTGCGGAAAACCTATCACGAAAGATCTTTTCGATCACAGAGGGTTGGTCGCGACGTTCGAAAGGAGCCGGGCTGTGCGCGACGAAAGCTCAGTGAAGGGACAGCTAGCATGAGACCCGAACCTTCCTTCGAAAAACTGATGAACTCTGATGACATCACTCCGACGAGAACAGATCGTCACAGACCCACACGCCCACAGACGTTCCGATTCCACGAGGCGACATGAGGATTCGCACTCAAAGTACAAAGGAGATGGGACACAGGATCGAAGGTATCGCAGGGGATACTGAACAAGGCGGGTTCATTGGACAGAGGAAACCCCTAATCACGAATTAATATATTCCTCGACGAGATAACTGGGCGAATAAGGGAACCGTCTGACGGGGATGAAGGAGGGGAGCCTTATTAGAGGCAACAGGAGCCACAGACCCCAGCGATGAAGATAAACGCGTACTCCTAAGGGCGTGTACCTTGCGGAGACGCAGGAAAAATATAAAGAGGAGGAATGCCGGATGGAAGTCACAAGAAGAGGCATTCATTCCACCACACCAGACCACCGCTATCAGAGCGTCACCTCGACGGGGTCGTCGGTGATGCAGGTTTGAGGAGGAATGAGGAGGGAGCCACGGGATCCGCTCTTGAAAGAGGGGCGTGCGGGCCCCGTCAAAGCGTTGGATAAAGAGGAGTAAAATGAAAATGAGGAGACGGATGACGTACGTGTGGGATAAAAAGAAGAAAAATGCAAAAAGAGGAGGAAGTGGATAGGAAAAGGGAATGCAATTTATTTTCGGTGGAACGAAGGGAAGTGTCGACAATGAGACGACACTCTCAGAGGACAACGATCCGAACATGGATCGGCAGGACGCTACCATCGGCAATGGGTCAATGGGACGATTCACCCAAGGATTTTTTTCTTTGGAAGTGAGGCGACAAGTTGCGCCAGTAAGCGCAGGTCAACGAGGGACGCTCCTCAAAGAGCCCCTCGTTTATTCCGTGAGCACGGAGCGATGTGAAATAGACGCTGGCGGCGCCGTCGTTCTTTTTGATAACATCTGGAGAGGACGGGGAGGTCGAACCTCCCCTGGTCGATTGGACTGCGTCGACGATTGGTGACAAGGGGGCGGCAACCGAAACAGCCGCAGGAGAAGGGGGACGAGCTGGGACGTGCACAGGGAAAGACGGTGTAGGAAGAGCCAAGGGGGTAAGGGACAAAGAATTTCCCTTCCTTTCTGGGTCTGCACGCACGGACAGACTGTCAGTCCGGCTAGCTGACGATGGGACCTCTCTCGTCTCTGATAGAGGTTGACACCTGGTCACTGGAGGTGAATGGGACCGCAAAGGGGATTTGAGCTCCTCACAGTCAGGGGCTCTCGTCGCCCTTATCGAAGCATTCACGGGAAGAGTGGGGTCGGTCGGATCGACCGGAAGTGAAGTCGGTGAGACCGGTAACACAGGGCGAGAACGCAAAGGTTCTCTGGGACAGAGGTCGCGCTTGCGGGGATCCGCAAGGAAGACGGGCAATTCAACCGGAACGGGCGTCTGACTCCCATACTGCCGACTCAGACGCGCCTTGTCGCAAGAACATTGCGATCCTGTCCAGGGGTTAATCCAAGCGTAGACCCCCGCACCACGATGAGCACGACCAAGAGAGAAGGAGGGGCGTTGCCGGACGAAGGAACGAGAAGAATTTTGACGCGGTATCAAGTCCCAATCGACCTCCTCTATTTTATCGAGGAGAGAATGCAGTTCGGTGTCTGCATCAGCACCGCCCAGGGGAACCGAATAATCGAGGCGTCGCATGAGGCTGATGAGCTGGGGAGGAAAGTACCACAACCTCCAGCAGTCGTAGGTCTCCCAAAGGAGGGTCACTGCCACTTTGGTACACCACTCTGTGAGGAAGACTACCCAAAGGTCATGTCGAGGATAACGTAAATACCTTCCTTAATACGTGTTCACAGGGCCGAGCTCAGCCCAGAAGCTTTTGCAGACCTCAAATTGGCTCCATCACGACGGAATACGTTGATAAAGATTCGCATAATGGGACCTCGCGATTTCGCGCGCCTCCAACATCTGGTAGGCCACAAAATGCCCAGTGTCAGACCGAATAAGGCATTCGAAGCGCACTGTGTGCTGTAAGAAGGGGATGGTACCCCGCTTGATAAGTCGGAAATTAGCCGGAATTATGGCGTTGGTCCACATGATAGCGTCGCCCGAGACGGTCCGTTGGTTGAACCAAAGGCGGTTAGCTTCACGAGGAGGGTTATTGGAGGTCCAGGCCAGCATATTATAGAGGTAAGACCGCTCGCCATCGGTGCGAAACTGCCACGTGTCACAACCGAATTCCTCAGCGATGAGATCCTGCGTCAATGGCAGCTCAAGCCTGTCGCACACAGCGGTCATGAAGCGGGTCGATAACACCGCACGACCACGGGGCGGAGTGTGACACAGAATGGAGGGAGGAATGGCGATGCGAGCCAACCAATCGTAAGACCGAATAGCTTGAAGGGGGATTTGTCCTGGGAGCATACCGGCGCCGTCGGCGAACGAGTAAGCAATGTCATCGAAGGCGCATACACCGATCACTGAGAACCATTTAGCGGAAGCAAAATGCTCAAGATTAAGGCCCATGGCCTTATCGTGGAGCTCCGATGCAGCAGGGTATCGACGCGAGGACGGAGTGTTAGGACCGGAATCGATGTGGGCAACAGGGCCGGCATGTTGGGAATCAGGAGGATATCGAGAGATGGAAGGAAGACTTAGAGGGACGTGGGAAGTGGAAGAAAAGCCCACGCCGAAGCGCTTGCGTTTGGCACCACCACTCGAGTGGCTCGGGGATGAAGGAAACATGAGGCCCGTCTTTCTCTTGCACTTTCACCGAGTACCGAATACGGCGGTGTAGGGTAATGAGAGAAACGGCGAGGAGATTATACGATGGCGGAGCGGCGTACAAGAGCGCTCGGAAGGGGGATATGTAGTGCAATACGCACCTGAAAAGGGGGGTGAAAAGAAAGAAAAATATTTGGATATGAAAAGTAGTCCGGGTTGGGGGACACACGTGTGAATAATTGCACAGTTTAATTTTTAATTGTTTTATTTTATTTAGTTAATTAGTTGGCATTAATTTTGCTGACACTAGATTAGATCTAGGATCTAGCGCCGCGAGCTACTGTAGTGGCTCCGGCGAGGCGATATATACCTTAGCCCTCTGACCACCAAGTCAGTAAAGGTAACCCGAGTTGCTGGAGTTGAATGTCGCCTTGGTCGAAGTCCATCTCTACCAAGACGCTCCCTTTTACCTAAGCCTACGGCATCCTTCAGTGCTCGGGGGTCGCATTCCCTTTTCTTATTCTTTTACCTTTTCTATCTCTAATTCCTATCCTTTTCTATCTCTACCTCTATTTTTCCCTTAATTCTGTTGGTTCCATTGGAGTCGGTTGCGACTGATCCGGTGTAGGTGTTTTAGCCATCGGGCAACACGTTGTGTAGCGCTGCTACAGTTTCAAGTTCCGTAGGAAGGCTGTTGCGACGACGCCTCCGTCGAAGGTCTTACTGTATAAGACAGAGTTGGTACCGCCTACGGCGATCGCGATCGCGCTGGTGAGGGTGTTTTTAGCCATCGGGCAACACGTCAGTAGTAGCGTTGCTACACAATTACGATCCCGTCTGGTAGTGCTGAACAAGTCCCCGTCGAAGACCTTGAATTACACACGAGGTGCTGAAGACGCTCGTCGAGCATTGGCCTTACAACCCAGCGAACCGCGGTTACATTCTCGTAGACAAGCCCAACCCGCACTCGTCGAGCGCTCAAGTCTTCACAAGTCTCTACCACCATTATCCTCCCGGGCCGGGTATCTTCCCTTAGCCCCCCCGTCGGAGTCGAGCTACCGTGGGCTGCAAGCCCACACAAAGGGAAAGGCAGTCTCGAACCTCCGTAGCGCGTGCCATCGGCAGTGGTTGTTGCTGTTGTTGTTTTTCTTCTTCTTGTTTGACCGTCGGACTGTGTTCGCGGCCTGCCATGCACATTTCACTACACTAGTCGCATGCGCCAATGCGCGTTCGATCGGACCGTGAGGAGTCATTGTGAGGGTAATTCTTGTAACTCTGTGCAGTAAACGAACTGATGGTAGGTGGAGGAACAGACAAAACGTCCAGCTGTTTTTAAGTGCGTGGCAAGACGATTGGAGAGAGGAAGGTTCACCGAAATAGGAATTGTATCGAGGCGGCGACATGCGTTCCCGCCCTTTCTGAACTCTAAAGGCGACTTATGATAAGACCGTTTCCTCCAGGTCAAAACCAAAAATAACCTGGTCCAGTTTATATCTAAACCCAGGTTAATATATGGACCAAGGTTAATTGCTGTGATCAGGTGTAGTGGGTTTACGCAAGCAGAATTCTGCACTGATTTTTTTAAAATTCTGCAATACGTATGATAGGTGTCAAAAGATACAGAATTCTGCAATGAAGCTGTGAGGAATATTGCCGAAAAGTGCCCAGTTAGAGAAAACCTGTGAGAAACAATTGTGAGAAATTCGGAGACAGTTGTCCTACATGAGCGCGCCAAATAGTACTAGTATGCCATAATCCCTCGAACTCATGTTCTGTCACCCCATCCACCCTCACATCAGCTTACTCCTATCCTCATTATGGCCGAGGTCATATCTGTCGACGCCCCTTCCCCTTCCGACTCTGCCGCGACAAGAACCGAGCGGCATTCTCGTTTTACCCCTGAAGAAGATCTTGTGCTCCTACGAGAGTTCTCTGCAGCAAACGCTCATATTGCAGCGTTTGGTGAGAGCGGTAAGAGATATGGCGAAGCTGCGAGCAATTTCAACGCTAATCCCTCCTTTGCCCAGACGGTGACTTGGAAAAGCGTGGCGACCGCTACAAGCGACTTCAAGAGCAGTTCGACAAGAACGACAAGGCGAACCAACATCTTTCCGGTGTAGAAGGCGAGATTGGGTAGATGGAGGAGCTACTAATGGCAATACGAGAGGCGCCCGATGACCTGGCTATACAGAAGACTGCCAAGAAGACCGCGCAGCAGGAGACGGATCGCGAGAAGGAAATGATTGGCCAAGCTTGGTAGAGATGTCTCTTAAGCGAAAGACTGCTGACAATACCAGAGAGGAATCGATCGAGGAAGTCCCAGCGAGCGCGAAGAAGACTAAGTGCCTGAAACGAATAGAATATGGCGGCGAGATGGAGCGCTTCGGAGCGCACCTGCGCGACGCGGACCTCGCACGTATTGATTTAAAGCGCGAAAAGTTGGCATTTAAACGTGAGCGCAGCGAGGCTGATCGCGCTGAGCGCAAATGCGAGCGGTAGGAGCGACGCAAGGAGCGCGAGAAGATGCAGGAGCTAGAGTTGGCTAAGTATAAACTCCCGATAGAGGCTCCTAATAGAAAGTAAAGAAAAAGCTTCTAAGCCCGTTTTCAAATGTTGTTTACTAAAGAAAAATGACTTTTTACCTACTTTATCTGCCAGGTTTCCGCTCGCGCGCTACAGTTCTCAAGCTCGCATTCGCGGACTTGGTCCTCGCTCCTCGTCCGCCCGCGCAGACGAGGAGCGAGACCACCCAGTGTAATCCTTATGAGATACAGGGGGGGTCGCGATATAAGAGCAGGTTGAATAAGAGCGACCTCGCAATAAGAGCACCATTTTCGCTTGACACGGTATCATAACTTCGAGCACCATCACACAGTGTAATTACAGTGTACTTACATTCACACAGGGCTTTCCTCAGCTGGTATTAGAAACCCATCTTAGAGGTCTCGCTCACAGACCGCCCGTACCATTTCTCCGCCGCAAAGATAAATACGGTGCCTCAAAATGACATTCCACTTTCGGCAGT